TTAAATACGTTGTGTTTCTGCTGAAGACCTGATCTGAGTGCCATTGATCCGCACGTCACCGCACACACGGCACTCTCGGTCATTATAATCGACTCGATTTGAGCTCAGTGAGGATCAACACTGGACACTATGGTGCTGCCAGCCGAGCTGTCCGCTCGGTGCGGTCGCGGCGTGGTCGTCATGGTCCCGCTCGACCAGGACACCGAGGCGGCCGCAGCGCCCCGCCGACGGCTGCTGTGGACCGCCATCCGGCCGGCGCTCGTCACCGCGCAGATCTGCTCCCTGGGCGTCTTCAGTCTGGCGTCGACGGCAACCAGGTACTAACTACTCTCCGGTGAGGCGGTATTGAAGTGTGACTGACTGACACAATAGCGGCAGTTTAAAGTTGTGGATGCGTGTTCATGACGTGCTCTTGCCCAGGCTGGCGTCGTGGCACACGGCGTATGCCGTGCTCTTCTCTGCCTTCACCATCTGCGTAGGGGCCAGCTTCTCCGTGCACTTCTACCAAACTACCTACAGAAGGAGGAACCGCTTCAAGTTCATTAGTAAAAAACAAACAGTGACTGGCTCTTCTTTCTTCTAATCCATATTCTCGTCGAATTTAGAGAAAATTTCTTGTACATGCTGCTTTCTTTGCGCGTACCAGATAGTACACTATTCACTATTATGTCTACGCAGTGCATATTATGGCAACTTGCTCTTGGTTCCTTGTTTTCCTTTGACCCCCGATGTCCTCAGCGGCGGTGCCCACCATCCTGGAGAGCTTGGCGCTGGTGCTGCTGTGGGTGCGGGTCGGCGGCCGCTGGCCGGGGCTGTGGGCGCGCGTGGACGCCCTGGAGGACCGGCTGTGGGCTCGCGAGGTGCACCGCCTGCCGGGGCTGCGCCGGCGCACCCGCGCCGTCTCCTGCGTCTTCGCCCTCGTCACCGGCCGTGCGTGTCACAATGTCATGATGCGATTAACGACATCATGCGATGTAACCTTAATAATGCGACGTTGGTACACTTTGGCCTGCGACTTTGTCCGCAGTACAACAACCCGTCCTCACTTGGCGTAGGATGCCAGTGCGGAACCTGTACGAAGGCTTTTTGTTGATCATGAGCCTGAGCTCCACGGGGGTGTACGAATTAAACGCCATGCTCCTCATCGTCCTGAGCGACGTGCAGGCAGAGTGCTTCCGCGGGCTCTCGGCCGTGCTGCGAAGCACTGCCAAGCAGGTGAAGTGAAAGAGACGACCATCACCCAGAAAACCGTTTCTTTGACTTAACGAAATCACAAACTGACGATATTTTCGTTGATTTGAAGAAAAATTTCTTTATCTCAACGAAAATTTGTTCAATCTGAGAAAACTTTCGTTGAGTGAAAGAAATTTTTTCGTTATATGAACGAAAAAGATTTCTTTGGTTTCTGGCACGAAATTTTCGTTGAATTAAATAAAATTTCTTTAATTCAAAGAAACGGTTTTCTGGGTGCAGGTCGGAGTCGGTCTGCGCCGAAGCACTCGACCCTCCGATAGAGGTGACGAGTCAAGTGGTCTAGTTCGATCCGGCAATGGCCTTGATCACTGGGCGCAGGCAGTCAGTCTCCGCGGTTGATTGTAGGGCTAAATGTATTAAACAAATTTTGAGTCGTCGCCAGGGTGGTAACCAGCTCCCGTCGGAGGCGGTGGAGGGCGTGCGAGTCTTGTACAACGAGGTGTGCCGGCTGACGCTGGCTCTGGACGCCAGCCTGGGCCCCATATTGCTCGTGACCATATTCGCGGACGGCTTGTACGTTTGCCGGTTCATCCTCTTGTTTCTGACGTAAGGTCCAAGTACACCCCGCCGAGTGCAACCGTGTTCAGTCAGAACTGGGTTTATCTCGGCTTGCTTGCTGCTCTCTGCGTTCAGGGGCTCCATCCCGAGCTGGTACGCGTGCGTGAGGGTGACCATCACCGTCTTCAGGTTCGTCTACACGATACTCGCCGCCTCCTCGGTGCACACCGAGTGGCAGGCTACAAGGTCATGCCTGCTCAGAGTGGCGCCGTGCAGGGGCGGAAAGGAGGTGCGGAAACTGCTCATATTACATTGTTTTTATCTAGTTTCGAATATTTTACCCAGCGTTTGTTGAAAACTAGCCTCTCAGAATCTACATTCCTGCCTGGTTTTCTGTCCCATTAAGGTCGGGCGCATCTTTATGCAGATCGGCACTGACCGCGTTGCACTGACAGCTCTTGGAATTATGCCGATAACAAAATCACTTTTGCCTGCGGTAATGTTTTGTAGTACACGCAAAATGGTGTATTTGCTGAAATAGAAGTATAAAAGTATGCCTTTGTAAACTTTGCAAACTGTTTGCTGTTACCAAAGCAACAAAATAAAGTTAGCAGCTATGGTGACAGCAAACATTTTTGCCGTTCCAGCTAAATTTTTTGCTGTTCCAACAAACATTTTGCGGTAACAGCATACAGTTTGCTAAGTTTACAAAGGCATACTTTTGTTTTAGCAAACAGACCATTTTGCGTGATTGTTAGCTCTCGGTTCTTTCCCGTTTTTCCCCAATTATTTTAATTTTGGGGTTGGTTGTTTTTGTTTCACAGTGTTTTGACGATGCTCAGCTTGTGCACTCTTACCGTTACAGGTGTTTGGCGCAATACTTTCCTATGAGATCATCTTCGTGCAATTCAATCTGCAGACGATTGGCCGTGCATTTAGTAATAGCACTGCATCCAGCTGAGAATTTTCGTCTGCTCTTCCTGTACCGAAAAGAATGTGACACGTTTCACAAGTAAAATAATGTGACGTCACATGAATTGATTAACAGTGTACGTATTCTTTATATTTAATGGAGGCATCATCTGCTATAAATAAATCCTCAATCACGTTACAGCGCGTTATTTGTACGTAACGTTAGGGCTGGTAACGACATAACGAAGGTCGTCGGTGCACACCTCCATGATCTCCTGCGGCACAGAGTCACGCTAAACCGGCTTGCCGGGAGGTGATGACCGATCCCTGGGGCGCTGGCGGCTCCTGCTGGTCCAGCAGGGGGTCCAGGCGAGGGGAAAGGGAGGGGAGGGGGGAGGGGGGCTACTGCCGCCGCCAGGTTGTCGCCCCAGCCAGGCCAGGCCGCTGCTGTTTGTTATTTGGCCTGCACGTTATTTCTACCCGCCCACGCCCCGCCCCGCCCCCACCCAGGCAGCAACACTAACGCGCAGCCTATAATTGAAACTTTTCAATTAATCATAAATCACAACAACTTGGAACCCAGCGTCCAAACTAAACTCCCTCTCTCTAAAACCTCCATCTCACTCTCTCTTGTACTCTCAGCGTCGCTTTCCATCTCTCTGTCTCTCTCTTTCTCCCCACTATACCCAGCAGCAGCAGCAGCAGCAGCCA